ACTTAAGACTGCGTTTCTCCAAGCATTAAATGAACCTATCAGAAACGAATTAACCTTTTATGTTGAGCCAGATAACCTTGTGGACCTTATAGAGCTTGCAGTCGGGCTAGATATAGAACTTCAAACTAGACCCAGAACCTTACAGCCTCAGTTTAAGGATTCCAGTTCCTTTCCGCGCCAGGTTAGTTTCTCCTCACATATACTCGACCCTCACTTAGCTCCTTCTGTCAGAGGATTAAAATTTGACCCACAAGTTAAGGTTCAAACTACTAGAGTTCCCCGTCAGCTTGATCCGACACCTGCACCCGTCACCGTTGTCACTAGACCTGTTCCCTCATCCGAAAATCTAGCCCCCCACATCCATGAGTCAGATCTATGGAATTATTTCTATGGGGATAGAGAGGATATCTACCCTTTCGAGCCACCACATTCAGCTCCACGCCAGCCTGAACCAGTTAGTTTTAAGCCAGATCCCATGCCTGACTCTTTAGCCTAAGATCCAGTAATTCTTTCCGGTATTCATATTTTTCAACTGGTTAATTTATCACCAGATTCAATCAATAAACCGGTTAGCCTAGCTCCTAAAACCCCTCGGCGTAGGAAACGGCGTCGCCCTAAATCAGCTCTGTGCCGTCTAGAGACCTCTGGGTCAGCTCTGTGCCGTCTTGAGACCCCTGAGTCAGCTCTGTGTCATCCAGAGACTCCTGACCCTGCCCTGTGCCGTCCAGAGACCCCTGAGCCTATCCTGTGCTGTCTTGAGACCCCTGAGCTAAGGGTTAGAATGTCTTCAGAAAGTGGAGTTAGAGAAAACATGCCTCCAAGAGTCCCTCAGCAGAGGCCACTAATCATCAAGAGCTCTCTACAGACGCCTCAAGCCACCTCAGAGACTGAACTTGAGCCTTCATGGATGTTCCCTCCAGTTCCAGAGGTGGAATCTCAGTCGGTGGTCCCACCTGCTCCTGAGGGTGAATCACAGTCGGTGGTGTCACCTGCTCCTGAGGCTGAACCGCAATCAGTGGTCCCTCCTGCTCCTGAGGGTGAACCACAGTCGGTGGTGTCACCTGCCCCTGAGGCTGAACCACAGTCGGTGGTGTCCCCTGTTCCAGACCCGGAGCCGCAATCGGCGAGCTCCCCTGTTCCAGACCCGGAGCCGCAATCGGCGGGCTCCTCTGTTCCGGTCCAGGAGCCGCAATCGGCGGGCTCCCCTGTTCCTGATCGGGAGCCGCAATCGGCGGGCTCCCCTGTTCCTGATAGGGAGCCGCAATCGGCGGGCTCCCCTGTTCCTGATCGGGAGCCGCAATCGGCGGGCTCCCCTGTTCCTGATCGGGAGCCGCAATCGGCGAGCTCCCCTGTTCCTGCTCCAGAGCCGCAATCGGCGGGCTCCCCTGCTCCAGAGCCGCAATTGGCGGGCTCACCTGCTCCAGAGCCGCAATCGGTGGGCTCTCCAGTTCCTGACCCGGAGCCGCAATTGGCGGGCTCCTCGGTTCCAGACCCTGTTCCAGAGCCGCAGTCGGCGGCCTCTCCAGAGCCTCCTTCAGAGCCGCAGTCGGCGGCCTCTCCAGAGCCTCCTTCAGAGCCGCAGTCAGCGGCCTCTCCAGAGCCTCCTCCAGAGCCGCACTCGGCAGTCTCCTCAGAGCCTCCTCCTGAACCGCAGTTGGCGGTCGCTACAGAGCCTGAGCGGCCGAGGAGGGGACGGGGTACCCCGAGGGGGTACCTGCTGAAGTTTGGGTGTCTTCCTCCTGAGAAGGTTCTTCGCCTTCGGCCCCGCGGCAGACCTCCAGAGCGTCAGCTTCACCTCCGGCCCCTTGGTGGATCTCCTGAGCGTCAGCTTCGCCTCCGGTCCCGCGGCAGAACCCCGGATCATCATCTTCATCGCAGACCCCGTGGCAGACCCCCAGAGTGTCAGCGTCGCCTTCGAGCCCGCTGCTGGCTACCTAAGACTCTGCTCCGTTGCCGGATCATAGGCCGGCCTCCTGAACCTCTGCCATGCCTCCGGCCTGGCGGTGGTCCTCCTAAGACGCTGTTTCGTTCCCAGCCCCGTGGTCGGCCTCCTGAGCAGCTTCTACGCCTCCGCTGCCGGCCTCTCGGCAGGCTACCTGAGACTGTGTCCTGCTACCGGCCCCATGGCAGCCCTCCTGGGACTGTGTCCTGCTGCCGGTCCCTCGGCCTGCCACCTGAGACTTTGCCCAAGAAAGTTTTTGGGTCTTCTTTTGTTTTCGTCCACCATAAGTGGATCGCTTTTTGTTCTGGACTCTGGTTTTGTTTTCTGCCCTCCTGGCCTGTTTCCACCTTCGCCCACCCTGGGTGGGTTGTTTTTTGTTTGTTGGACCTCCTTTTCTGTTGGTTCTGGCCCTCCTCGCCCTAGTGCCCCCTCCGCCCACCCTGAGTGGGTTGTTTTTTGGACTTTTTTTTCAGGGGGCGTCTGGAATCCGCCCTTGAGGGGGGGGCTCTGTTGGGATCCTCAGGCTTGCCCACCAGAGGGCGCAGAGGATCCTCTTCTGCTCTCTTTGTTTTTCCCTTAGGTTTGGAGTTACTGTGGGGATCTGGAGATTACCCTCTGTCTCCAGCAGGATGCGCTGTGGGTCTTCTGGAGCTGGAACCTTCCTGCACACCTGTTCCTAATCCTCTCATTAGAAGACCTCTCCTTTATAAGCCACTGCCTGACCTTGATCCCACGCCGCAGTGTTGATCTTAGTTGGAATCCTGTCTCTTCGTGAAAGCTGTGGATGAGCTTAACCTCCTGTCTCCTCGTGAAAGCTCTGGATGAGCTTAACCTCCTGTCTCCTCGTGAAGCCCAGGAAGAACTGTCTCTCTGGTAACCTGTCTATGGCCTGCAGCTCTGGGAGAGTTGCATCACAGGGAACCAGTTTCAAGCCTAAAGCTCTAGGAGAGCTAACCAGCTAATCTGCCCTGGTGAGCCAACCCAAGACCCAAACTCCGTGTGTGTTCTGCATCTTGGGCTTACTCTCTGTGACACCCATCATGACAGTTTCACTATAAAATTAATTAATACAGTTTGGACAGAAGCTATCTAAATTAAAGTGCAGTGGAAGGTAATTGCATATTAGAGTTAAAGTACGTTATTGCAGATGTAAATGTAAACAATTGGTGCTGTGAATAAACAGTTGGAAGTGCAAATATAGGCAGTCGGCAGTGCAAATCAATATTCGGTCAAAGTGAGTAGTGCAAGATGCGTGTAAACAGTTGTTACAATAGTAAAAGGTGAACATTACCGTCTTATAAAACAACAGAATAGCAAAATTGTGGTAGGTGTGAGGAAGGAGAGTAGAGTCCATCAGTGAGGGTTAGAGTTCAGTAAAGGGACAGCTCTCGGGAAAAAGCTGTTCTTTAGTCTGCTGGTTCTGGACCGAAGGCACCTGAAACGCCTGTCGGAGGGTAGGAGAGAAAACAGAAGACATGGGAGCTGGCTCAGAGCTCGTCTGCCTGGCTGTCTGTTTCCTGGACTGGGCCGCCTTTTACAGCTGCTTTTGTATCTCTGTCTGCTTCTGTCCCCTTGAACCCCAGTGGGCCTCAGCAGATGACTGCCTGTTTCTGCTGGAGGTTTCTTCCTGTTCAAAGGGAGTTTTTCCTCTCCACTGTCGCTACAAGCATGCTTAGTTTGAGGGATTGCTGAAGAGTCAATGAGTTTATGCAATTAACTGGTTTTCCCTAGATACAGTAGAAAACTTTGAATCAATCTGACAGTATGATCTGGTGAACTGGAAAGTGCCTTGAGATGACATGTGTTGTGAATTGGCACTATACAAATGAACTGAACTTAAAAATAATCAGAGAGAAATATTCAGAAGTATCACCAAGGAGAGGTGGATTATTATCAAATTAATTTTATGTGTATCTGATCTCATGTATTTCATCCCCTATTTATTGGATTCGAAAATAATACTTTTTTGAGGAATTTCCCAAAGCCTGAATTACAAATGGCACCTCTATTTTATTATTAGAATAGAAGAGTATAAAATGAGGAATGTCTTCACTATAGATCATTGCAGTGTCTCCAAACTACAATGTAAGATACATAGATAACCTCAACTAGTTCACACTGCAACTCTTACTTTGGGAAAATGTGCTAAACTCTATTTTTTGAGATTTTTTCATCATTATTACAAGCAGGCCAGGTGTGCAATCTCTGCAACAGGAACCACAGCACTGAGCGTTGTGTGCACTGCACAAAGTATACCTGTCACAAACAGTGTTGGGCACGTTACTTTGAAAAAGTAATTAGTTATAGTTACTAGTTACTTCTCCCAAAAAGTAACTGAGTTACTAACTGAGTTACTCCACAATAAAAGTAACTAGTTACTAGTAAAAGTAACTATTGCGTTACTTTTGCGTTTCTCGCCCCCGTAACCCTCACCACCCAGCCCCCACCTTCTCGCAGTGTGTTTTAAAAGCCAGCTGAATAGAGCGGACGACAACGACAAGAACCTGCAGAGAGTTTAGCATTTATTGCAACTCAACGTAAATGACGTCAGGGGGGAATGCGATGTGAAGTTTTTTAACAGGGCATTCAGATCTGGATATCATTTTGCACAACACTACTTAATATCTGAAAAACTCAGTTTTTCTCTTTCACCTATTCCCAAAAATTATAACAGTTACATGATAAATATCTTTACCTACTGAGCAAAAAACTCAGACTAACATTTCAATTCGATCTCCACATCATAAAATGAAAACAGCATTTGAAAAAGGAAATCAGGTTTTATTTCTTACTGCTTGAAATACTACAAAAAATTCAAATGGGAGTCGACAGCACAAAAAATGCGGAAGTGACACAAACTCACTTTAGTTCTATAATTTAAGTAAAAGTCAAAAGAAAACATGGGACTTCCTAAACAGATTAGGAAATTCATCAGAAGATTCATGAATGACATGACCATGAATGAATGATTCATGAATGACAGGATGAAAAATAGGAGCAGTTAGAGGAGGAGCAGCGCTGGAAAAAACAGTTTTAGTCACTTTACAGAAATGAAACATAAAGGCTGAGAATAAAAGCAGAGCTTCAGTCCAGACTAGTTTCTCCGTCTCTGTCAGAGTTTCTTCTGTCTTCCTCATCAACCAACTCAAACAGCGGTGAATACAGCTGATAATATTCACTGTGTTTCTACCAGCAGCATCAACAGCAAACTGGAAGATGTTAATCAGCAGAAAACTGGGAAAAATAATGATTGCTTTCAGAAATATACAGATTTCACTTTAATCCAACCGCTTTTGGAATTTACTTAATCCTATTTAGTTACTGCAACACATTTGATTTACGTCTTACCCTGCTAACACAAAACAAAATCTTTGATTAAGATTATATTAAAATGGATGAGTGTAAAGCAGGGTGCTAGCTTCCTCAGAAGGCTGCAAAGTCTCTGGTTTGAATCCCAGACGGGCCTTTAACCCCAGAAAGCTGCTGGTTCTGTGGAGAGGCAGCCCACGGCTCCCTGAGGGACGGGTTAAATGCAGACAATAAATCTCACTGATATGAACAAAGGCATAAATAATAATGATAAATAAATTTCACCACAACCATCAACTGTTTTAACAGTAACTTTGATCTCATCAGTGATAGATGTGCTGGTTTTGGGATTCTGGGCTGAACCACAGATTCTGTTTTTAGAAACAGAAACTTACCTGCTGACTTCATTTCACCAGGTGAGCTGGTCTATAGAGCCCCCTCCTGGATGAACAGGGAACTTTTTTTTTAACAAATTAGAATAAAATGAAGCTGAATCTGATCATTTGTTTAGTTGATCATCAGTTGTTCCAGTTTTATAGTGAGCTCAGTTCTGATGAGTTAAAGAAACATGTTTTATGTCTCCTGCATGAATCTGTGTGTTTCAAAGGTAATGGGAGGAGCAGCACTGAGTTTAAAACGTCACTTTGCAGAAATGAAAGTGAAAGTTTGTCAGAATAAAGCCTGAGCTGCCATAGAAAAACACGTCCCTGTTCCTCCTGAAGACGAACTAAGTTCATCTTTTCCTTTCCAACAACAGACTCTGATTCTGGTGAGTGAAGCAGAAAACAGTTTAAATGAGTTTCTACTAACAGCTTTTAAAGGGGTCATAGAATGATTCTATAGGGTATCTGGTCCTTAAGGTCTCTGAATAGGGTGTGTAACATTGGTTGGGCTGAAAATGACATAGTTGCTGTGCTTTGAGCCCTAATACAAGCCTGATAAAATCACTGGAATGAAAAGGTTTTCCTCCTTTTATGGTATGCTCATGAATATGTAGATGAGCTGTGCGCTGATTGGTTGGTTTACAACGAGCAAAGCTTCTGAGCAAAGACGCATCATAGCAACAAGCACTCACTGAAACATCAAATTGTTGATAGGGTAGGGTGACCAGACGTTTTCCTGGACATATCCTACTTTTCATACCTAAAAAAATATCCAGGGGGAATTTCAACCTGAGTTTATATGAACTCGGGGCTTTGATTCGATTCCCCCGTTTTATGTTGGAAGTTCAGAATTGTGAGATTTGCAGAGAAAGGAGGTGTTGATGGGTTTTGAACTTCTCTGTACGTCCATTTCACCCACTGAACTATCGTTATTTATCTATGACGATGGAAACTCGGTTTTGCATTCTATGGCCCCTTTAAGGACAAACAGGAAGCTGGAGAAATTTCTTCAGGACTCAGAATAAATCTGTAGTAAATTGGAGGAAATGACTATAAGATTACTGCGATGGACTGGCGACCTGTCCAGGGTGTTCCCCGCCTCTCGCCCGTGGATAGCTGGAGATAGGCACCAGCACCCCTCGTGACCCCACTCAGGATAAAGCATGTCAGATAATGGATGGATGGATTGACTATAAGATTAAATGATTATAAGGAACTGGAACATTTAGCAACTTTAACTAAAGAGTTTAAACTGTTTATTCTGTCCTCAGAGTTCAGACATGTCTTCTAGCAGCAACCTGCGGTCTGAGGATCAGTTCCTGTGCTCCATCTGTCTGGATGTCTTCACTGATCCAGTCAGCACACCATGTGGACACAACTTCTGCAAAGCCTGCATCACTCAGCACTGGGATGGAAATGTTCTCTACAATTGTCCTCTGTGCAAAGAACATTTCACCTCTAGACCTCAGCTGAAGGTCAACACCTTCATCAAAGAGATGGTTTCTCAGTTCAGACGTGAAGCTCAGCAGGAAGCCATCAGCAGCAGCAGCTCAGAGCAACAAGCTGCCAAACCAGGAGAAGTTCCCTGTGACGTCTGCACTGGAACCAAACTGAAGGCCCTGAAGTCCTGCCTGGTGTGTCTCCTCTCCTACTGTCAGACTCACCTGGAGCCTCATCTGACAGCTCCACGTCTGAAGAAACATCAGCTGATGGAGCCTGTGGAGAACCTGGAGGACAGGATGTGTCTGCAGCACGATAAACCTCTGGAGCTGTTCTGTAGAACCGACCAGACATGTGTCTGTTCGCTCTGTCCTGTTTTGGACCATAAGAACCACGAGTTTGTTCCTCTGAGAGAAGAAACTGAAGGAAAGAAGGCAGAGCTGAGGAAGACAGAGGATGAAGTTCAGAAGATGATCCAGAACAGACGAGTGAAGATTCAGGAGATCAAAGAGTCGGTGAAGATCAGTAAAGATGCTGCAGACAGAGAGAAAGCAGAAGGTGTTGAGGTCTTCACTGCTCTGAAGGAGTCTGCTGAGAGAGGCCTGAAGGAGCTCATCAAGGAGATCGAAGACAAACAGAAAACTGCAGAGAAACAGGCTGAAGACTTCATCAAAGATCTGGAACAGGAAATCTCTGAGCTGATGAAGAGGAGCTCTGAGGTGAAGCAGCTCTCCCAGTCTGAAGACCACCTCCACCTCCTCCAAAGCTTCTCCTCCCTGAAAGCTGCTCCACCCACCAAGAACTGGACAGAGGTCAGAGTCCGTCCACCATCATATGAGGGGACTGTGGTGAGAGCTGTGACTCAGCTGGAGGAGAAGATCAGGGAGAAGATGAAGAAGATGATGAAGGCTGAGATGAAGAGGGTCCAGCAGTCTGCAGTGGATGTGACTCTGGATCCTGATACAGCTCATCCTGACCTCATCCTGTCTGATGATGGAAAACAGGTGAAAGCTGGAGATGTAGAGAAAGATCTACCAGACAATCCAGAGAGATTTTCTTGGTGTGCTAATGTTTTAGGACGTCAGAGTTTCTCTTCAGGCAGATTTTACTTTGAGGTTCAGGTTAAAGGAAAGACTGACTGGGATTTAGGAGTGGCCAGAGAGTCCATCAACAGGAAGGGGAAGATCAAACTGAGACCTCAGAATGGTTACTGGACTATTTGGTTGAGGAATAGCAATGAGTACAAAGCTCTTGCTGGTCCTCCAGTCCGTCTCCATCTCCATCCTGGTCCTGAGAAGGTGGGGGTGTTTGTGGATTATGAGGAGGGTCTGGTCTCCTTCTATGATGTAGATGCTGCAGCTCTGATCTACTCCTTTACTGGCTGCTGCTTCACTCAGAAACTCTACCCATTCTTCGGTCCCTGTAAGAATGATGAAGGTAAAAACTCTGCTCCTCTGATCATCTGTCCTGTTAATCAGGCTGATGGTTGATCTGATGAAGCTCCATGAAGAATAAATCTGTTGGTGAAGAACCTCCAACCTGAGTGACTCTGTAGTAAAATCCTAATGTGTCTGATTCCTCTCTGCTATTCATGCATCATCTCCAAGCTCAGCTCCAGACCCTCAGATCTTCCATCCATCCATCACTTCCTTCATGCTTCATTTATTTCAGGTGTTTCTGATCAGAGACATTAAACAAAGTCAGATTCAGGAAGTAGCAGCAGCTTCCTGTCCACAGCTCCTCTAGTTTACAGGCCCAGTCTGTGGTTTGGCTTTAAAACTGAAAACTAGAAACAAACTGTTTAAAACTAACAGAGAAAAAGACTGAAGGAAAAACCCAGATAGATAATGACAGCAGATAAACAGCAACGGCTGCAACATGATGTGGTAAAGAGGCCCAGCTGTCATTTTTCAAACTGGGACCATTAAAAGTGGGCTTTGGTTCCAGGTTCTTGACCAGAACCATGGTTCTCCTGCATCATTTTATAGTTTTCTCCTCTTTACTGGAGCTGAACTCAACTGTTGGTCGGATCATTGACCAGAAGGGAATAAAAGGAGACTCATCTGGGATTGATTGATTGTTTTCCTCTTGATGTTTTCATGTTTCAGTTTATTGGTTCAATTTTATTGAAGTTGGGGTTTGATTTGTTTTCATTTGATGCTCAGATTAAAACTGTTTAACTGGAGAAACTGTAAAACCTAATAATGGCATCTATGTTTGGTTGGGAACGATTAAAATCATTCAGAAAACTCTGTTCTGTTCTGCTTTGTTTTTGCTTAGAAGAAAACTGGTCATGAAGCTGCATCATGGTCTGAAAAATGGACCAACTGGATGTAAAAAGACCTCATTGATCTGGAAAAACTGCAGGAGATGTTTTTATGAAACATGTTTTATCTTTAAGTTGGGTTAAAGTTCAGCATCTCGTCTCTCCATGGATCAAAATGAGCCTTTCCTCTTCTCTGACACATATCTGCACTTCACTGATTTCTACAGAAGGAATCATTTCCTGAACCTCCTGAATTGGACCTCATCTCTCCCACAGAACAGCTCCAATCAGCCCTAAATGTTCCCAGACACTTTGCAGAGGTCTGCACATTTTACAGTATTTTAAATGTTTTTCTTTTTTTTTTGGTAATCATTCTTTTATTCCTTTTATTTTATCTGTTGGTTTAACAGATTATCCCTCAAAGACACAAATCATCTCAACAGCATAGTTACAGTCTGTAATAAGAGAGCAGGAGTCCAGATGTCAGACCTGAGCTCTGACTGGGAGAAGAGAGTCCTTCAGAAAAATAAATCCATCCTAAACCAGCCTAACCATGTTCTCAGAGTTTAGTTTATGTCATCTCCCTCACAACAGCACTATGTTGTTCCCAAACAGAAAACTCAAACTCCTTTAGTCTCTCAGACATGCGGCTTTCAAACGTTAGACCAATAACCAAAGATGTTGCTATTGTTTTAATAAACTTATTTAATCTTTATTTTTTTTTATCAGTGGCACTAACGATGCTTCTGGAAGGTGGTTGAATGAGATTGTATAATTTTTCCTTGATTGTTTCCTATTTACCAAAGAGGTGCAAACTGAATTTGGCATGAATGATGTTGATTGATTGTTTGATTTAATTGATTGGTTGATTGATTGATGATTTATTTATTTATTAATTGAATGATTGATTGTCAATCTGTTGTCAACCTGGAATCTCTGCTCCTGCTGTCCATGGTGCTGATCAGTCTGTTTCACCTCATTTTGAACGGAATGAATGAGTATTGAAATATGCTGAAATAAAATAATCTCACATTTAATTGTGAATTATTTAAAAGCTTTCAATTTCTAATATAGTAAAAAAAAAATCAGTATGATTTTAAGGTAATTCACAGAGAAATGACCACATCTTTTTGCTTCTCTGTTACAGGGTGATCTATTTTCTTAGATGTTTTAAAAAAACTAAACTGCATTGATACAGAAAGACATCAATATTGTGATCTGGTTTGAGATGGAATTTGAACAAGACAAAGAGGTAGAACGGTGTGTGAGGCCCTCTAGTGGAGGTTCTGGAGTAGTTCAGGTTCTTGTACAGAGTTCTGGTGTTTCCTGTCACTGTGGGCCTCAGAGCACAGTAGTACACAGCAGAGTCTGACAGACGGAGATCCTGGATCGTCAGATTAAACGCTGAGTTCTTGACCTCTGCTTGAAATTTGTTTTTGCTGAATTCAGGAGCGTTATCTCCCTCTGATGAAACTCGTTTCAGCATGTACTGTGGGAAGCTGTTTTCTTTTTGTTTATACCAGAACAATGTTGATGTTACACTGCTTTTATAAGAACATCCCAGAGTCACTGATTCTCCTTCAGCAGCAGCAACATGTCCTTCTGTCTGCGTCACTGAGTCTCCTTTACACTCTGAGGAAGAACAGAACATGCAGAGGAAGAGATGAATCAATAAAGATGATTGATTAAAGGAGAACAATCAGCAGCTTTAAAGACTTCTATTCCATGTAGAATAGATGTCATTTTCTCTGATCATTGTCACTTTGAACCATATCAGGTGTTTCTACAAGGTAACAAATGGCAGCAGAAATGATCTGCTCTGATTTTCTGTAGAATGAACATTAAAGCTCTTCATGTAGAGCTCAGGAATGTGTTCAAGTGTTTGAAGAGGAAACACGTTGAGCTTTCTATCTTACCAAAGAAAAGAGCAGCTAGAATAATCCACAGCCAATGTTCCATCTGTCCAACAAGGTTTAAATCAGCAGGAGAAACTAGCTGATGTTCAACATTCAGTCTGACTATTGTTCTCTTCACAGCAACACTTATTATTGACACAATGCTGGAACACAGAGCACAAGGAGAGCTCCGCCTACTGGATGATGGCGCCCTCTAGCGGAGCTATAAGTTTACGTTAAAGAATAGAGAATATAGCCTTCTAGCAACTAGTAAGTGGGACAAAAAAAATGCTTTCAGCTCCATTTTAGAGTGATGACAAACAGAGGAAACATGTCACAGAGATGCAGTGACATCATCTTCCTCACTTTATCTGTTCTGTCTGCTTTGGTTCTTGAATTCCTCTGACAGTTGGGATCTTTCTCTGCTCTGATCTCAGACTGTTTCTCCTCTAAGACCTGGGAGGGATAATTCTTGTCATTTAAGTAGAGTTTTGTCAAAATATTTGAATTATTAACTTTAGGGTACTTGTCCATGAATTATAAATAGCTATTCCTACTTATATTATAATGGTTTTGTTGTGAGGCAACCAAAAGAGGACCCAAATGCAAGACTCAACTGGGGAAAATAAAATCAATGATCCTATAATACAGACCAGAGTCAGCAAACTGAGTTGGAGAAATATCATGTAAAATATCCACAAAACAGAGGTAGATCAAAAACAAGCTGAGCAAAAATATCAAGAAGCAGTTTAGAATAAATACTGGAATGTTTGAACAAGATATGAAAATGACCTTGCTAAAAAAAGCTGCTGATGGTGATGGAGGTAGGCACACTCTCTTTACGTTTAACTCTGCTTACATGAAAGGTGGGATGACATCTCATGGTCCTGGGAAGCTTTAGTCTCACAATTACATGATTATCTTTGACACAGGAAATAGTCAAATTAATCTCAGGAATAGCCTACGTGATTCAGTTCAGAGGTGGCAGATAAAAAGTAAAGTGGTGGTAGAGACCTATTTCTATCAACAGCCATCTTGTAGGCCAAAGACTGTTTCTGAAAGACGCTGCATGCTTTAACCTAGGACTGGTGGCAGTGACTGGCAAGGGCCAGAGCAGATGGAACGCTGACCTTCTCAGGGGCTAGAAACAAAGAAGGTTTATGGGCAGGGATACATTGGAATGGGGGGAGCCAGTGGATAAGCAAGGTGGTGTGTTGTGAGCAAAATTCAACTAAATCAGCTGTTTACTCCAGGAGAAGAGACATCGGGATGCGCAGGTATGTAGACTATCATCCAACTCCTGATAAATTTGTTTTGACTGTCCATTGGTCTGAGGATGATAACTTGATGAGAGACTGATAGAAGCACCCAACAAGGTACAAAAGGCTTTCAAAAACTGAGGGACAAACTGTGGCTCCTGTCAGTAACAACATTAGTTTTGAAACCATGGATTCTGAATACATAAGCCATTAAGATCTCTGTTGTCTCTTTTGCAGAGGGCAATTTGACAAGAGGAATGAAATTACCCCATTTTACAGAATCTGTCACAACTGCGAGAATGGTGGTGTTACCTTCTGGTGTTACCCGTGACAAATCCAGAGAAATATGAGATGAGGGTCGAGCTGGAACTGAAAGAGGCTAAAGAAGTACAGAAGAACTGATTCAGGCTGGGCACATTCAGAAATAGCTTTTTTCATGGAAAGCAAACAGAACGGTTGCTATATGACAAACCGTGAAGCTTGTCTATCTTGCTCCTCCACAAGTCATTGCCCCCATGTTGCATGAGGATGGAATGATGTGGTCTTGAACCTCAGTGGAAGAGGCAGGGACATGCAAACGAGATGAACATCTTCCTTTGCTGTTTTAGAACCACGTCTATAAGACAAGGTGATATTGAAACGCGCAAAAAAAGGCCCACCTGGCTTGACGGGGTTCAGTATCTTGACCCTCCGAAAGTGTTCCAAGATTTTGTGTCTGTCCAGACAATGAATGGCCGTTCTGCCCTTTCAAGCCAGGGACGGCATCTTTCCAAGACCACCTTAATGGCCAACAACTCTCAATCCCCAATATTGTAGTTCCTGTCTGCAGAAGACACTGGGATGGAAATTATTATCCTGTAGTGAGGGTTGTGAAAGGACTGGCCCCACTCCAGAATCTGAAGCATTCACTTCCACCTAAACCTGAAGCAGAGGATCCGGAATGGTGAGAATCCAAGTAGAAGATGAAACATTTCTTGAGCTCTTGGAAGGCAGTGTTAGCTTGGGAAGACCACAGAAACTTAGAAGTTAGAGATGTTAAGGCATGCAAAGGTGAAGCGATGGTATTAAAGACTCTTTTAAATTTTCTGTTTGCAAAACCCAAAAACCTTTGTTTTCTTGGAGTTAAAACTGTCCAGTCTGTGATGGCCTCTACCTTGGACAGATCCATTCCAATCTCTCACAAATCCAAAACGAAGCAAAGAAAAGAGACTGAAACTCAGACTTCTCTGCTTTCACATGTAGCTGGTACTGAAAAATTCACTGGAGAACCTTGTAAATATGTTTGGTGTGAAAATGCTCATCAGGGGAAAAATATAGATGTTTTCTAACTACACAAAATAAGTTGGTAAGTTTTACCCCATTTATATACTTATTTTTGTTAATTTTCGATGGTTTTATGCTGACAGCTGTGAATGAGTTGTGTCTGTTTCCCTGCCAGTTTCCCTGATTTGTTGATGAGGCACATTGAGCAAGTTCACATTACTGCTACAGATTGCGCGATTTTGCCCCAAATGCTTAAATGCTCATGAGGTGCTGCTCCTGTTGATCAGATTCTTCAAGATGCGCTGCTCCTGCTGCTCAAGATGCACTGCAGGAACTTGGATGCACTTTGATATGCGTCATAGACTTTGCATGTAAACTGTCTGCTGCTACTGCTCAAATCGCATTAAAATAAAGGATTTTTGTATAGGTGAGGTGTTTTTCATGATCCAAGTTGAGGTACACTAACAACAGTCTTATTTCTCAATTAAATCTCCTATTTCGCACATCATTGTTTATGTGGGACATGCCCTTTTCCAATCTCCACCTGCATTTCCCCTTTCTGCTTAAGCTCATGCAATTTGACAGCCCAATCACTGGCACACTGGTTTAGGGAGAAACACAGGTAATTGACCATGATCATCTGAACAGAAGATGATTTTTAGAGTGAGGTTTAATAAACTTCACACAACATCACTGATAATTATCTTAACAATTCCCCCTGAACCCCTCGAGGCCCGTACCGAAAAATCAGAATTCCCGATTGTAGGCTAAATCAATTTAGAATTTAGGATTTAGAGTTTGTTAAACCTGCTTCCCTGAGCTCTATAGGGTTGGTCCATTGCTGCACCTTTTGTTTTTGTTTGAAAATCTCATCAGGTCCACCTGCCTTATGGAAGCTTGGGGTCTTCTTTAGATACAGCATGGTAAGTGATCATTTTTAATGTATGTCATTTTTAGACAGCTAACAAGACATATGAAAAAAAATTAAAAACAGAATATAAACAACAACAAGAAGTATATCACTGTTCTATTATTACTAAAGGTTGATATTTGAAGACTGATTCACTGTTGTATTTAAAGCTACAACTGCTTAATACAAGTAATACTCCCAACAGAGGAAATGACTGAAGATTTGATCAGATTTAATTATTAAATTAAAAAAAATCAATAATAAACAGGTAACCTATGAGAATCAGGAAAGGTGAAAGTATAATGATGATGACATGATCTTAGAAGTGTCCCAAAATATAATTCTCTGTACCTGATGTACCTAAATGCATCATTCAGTGTACCTGAATGCACTTTTCTACTGAGCACTTGTCAGTTTCCCACGGTTTTATTTTTGGTAGCAAGGAGTAGCTAGCCTAGGCTAGCACTAGCTTAGCATCACTATGGCTTCTCCCTCTCCCTCCCTTGACTCTTTTCCAACTCTTCCTTCTTCCTCTCCTCTCTCCTGCTCTCTGTGTCAAATGTTCAGTTATTCCTCTGCCTCCTTTAGTGATAATGGGATGTGTAATAAGTGTAGTATTTTTGTAGCTTTGGAGGCGAGGGTGTCAGAGTTAGAATCCAGGCTTTAGGCTGTTGAACATCCAGGAGTTAAAGTAGGCCCCCCACGTAGCTGTCCTCCAGCAGTGTCTGAGCAGCCAGGCGATTGGGTAACTGTACGCAGAAAGCGTAGTCGTGGATCTCTGCCCACTGGTCACCACCAACCCGTTCACGTTTCTAACCGGTTTTCCCCACTCAGTGACACACCCACTGAGAAGCCCACTCTGGTGATTGGCAGCTCCATAGTCAGAAACGTGGCATTAGAGACACCAGGGACCATAGTCAAATGTTTGCCGGGGGCCAGAACTGGCGACATCAAATCCTACCTGAAACTACTGGCTAAGGATAAGGTTAAATACAGTAAGATTGTTATTCACGCTGGTGGTAATGACACCCGGTTACGCCGATCGGAGGTCACTAAAATTAGTATTGCTTCGGTGTGTAAGTTTGCCAAAAAAATGTCGGACTCCGTAATTTTCTCTGGTCCCCTCCCTTATCTGACCAGTAATGACATGTTTAGCCGCATGTCGTCATTCAACCGCTGGTTGTCTAGGTGGTGTCCTGAAAACAATGTGGGCTACATTAATATTTGGCAATCCTTTTGGAGAAAGCCTGGTCTGATCCGGAGAGACGGCATCCATCCCACGTTGGATGGGGCATCTCTTCTAGGAATCTGGCCACATTTATTAGTCCTCCAAAACCCTGACCACCCAGGGTGCAGACCAGGAAGCAGAGTTGTAGTTTAACACACATCTCTGCAGCTTCTCTACTGTTACCCACTCTTTACTCCATCCAGACAGTGTCTTGCCCACGACCAAAATCTAATAAATTAGCAAAGATTCCCAAAGGACTTATCATGATAATCTAATTTAAATTAAAATAACCTCAAATGGGGAAAAAGTTAAAACGATTAAATGTGGTCTGTTTAACATAGGATCTGTTTCCTCTAAAGTCTGCTAGTTAATGACTTGATTTGTGATAATCACATTGACTTGTTTTGCCTTACAGAAACCTGGCTGCAGCAAGAGGATTATGTGAGCATAAATGAGGCAACTCCTTCAAGTTATTTCATATTTCACATACCCAGAAGTTCTGGGC